TGGTTTCTTAAGTTCAGCGAAATGCCAAAACTAGTCATCTAACCCTTTAAAAGAAGAAACATATAGATATGTTAATCAAACAGCATGGAAAAAATAACTAATATTTCTTTTAGAAGAAATAGAGACATAATAAGAAAGATTACCAAGAAACTTATCTCTTTAGTAAGTCATGAATTTTTTTTTATTGAAACTTCTAATGATACATGGTGAATTTGATGGTGAATTTGACGTGGAGCTGAAAGGAAATGAAGGAGCATTTATTTTAAAAATTAGATGTGCTTTGAAGTTGAAGCTACGAGGGTTTTAGATTAATTTTAAAATTTAGATGTAGTTTAGATTTGAAAAATATCTTTTATATTCCATCATTTTCTATAAATTTTATTTCAATTTCGAAACATTATGATATTAGTTATGGATTTTCATTTAATTGAAATATTTTTAGTATTTTAAAAAAATAATTTTTTTATTTGTGATAGAATATTAATTAATGGTTTATATAAAATCAAATCAACTATTTATCAATGCATGTTAATTCTAGTATTAAAAGAAACAAAATTGATGAGAATCCCTCTATATTATGGCATAAGAGATTAGGTCACATCTCCATTAAAAAAATTAAAAGATTAATGAATGATGGAGTTTTAAAAACTTAGGTTTTCTACACGAGACTAAACAATTTTTTTCTCAAAACTTTGATAATAAAGAATTTGGGTGAAATCTTTTATGTCATTGACAAAGAGATTCACAAAAACAAGTCTCAAAAGATATTAAAACTATCTCAAAAGACTTGTATTGAATTTTATTTTTTTTTTAAGGTAGAGGATGTTAAATTATACATCTTTGTTAGCACTCATTGTTAAAATGAACAATATCAATAAGAATCAATACCCATAAAATGCATTGAAAATGTAACATCTCTAATTTTTATATCAACTTCTCATAACATATCAAGTTGTGGTTGTTGAAATTAGAGTAAATTTTTTTTATTTTTATCAAAATTTTAGCAGAGTTTCTTCTAATATACAATAATCTCAATATAAATTATGAAAATCATTCTCATTCATCAATCCAAATTATATGAAATCACATCATATTAATATCTTAACATAATCAATATATTACACTATTACAACAATGTAAAACTTGAATAATAAAGAAATGATATAAGATAAACATGATTATTACACAAATACAAGTTTTTCTCTAGTAAAACTTCAATTTCCGCATGATATTATGATTTATTGTTCATAAATAAAAAATTATGTTCAACTCTTTTCTATTAATTAGTACAGGGAAGTAATAACAAAAGTTCATTCTTGACAGCCTTATGAAAGTCCTGAAACAAGAATTAGTATAATAATAATACATTAATTTTTTTTAATATGGATTTATATTATTTCAAATAATTCTTAAAAAATCCATTCCTAATTATATCTCTTTCTTTACTTATACTTTGTTCTTTTTATTCTAATCATTCAAACAACAAACGTGATAATTTTTCACATCTCATTTCTTCTCCAATCTTTTTAGTTATTTTTCCTGGATAGCTTAGTAATTTAATTATCCTATTTCATAGTTGATTAATTCAATTAGTCATTATTTTAAATAGCTTAGTAATTTAATTATCCTATTTCATAGTTGATTAATTCAATTAGTCATTATTTTAAATAGCTTAGTAATTTAATTATCCTATTTCATAGTTAATTAATTCAATTAGTCATTACATAGTTATCCATAAATTAAATAAACTATCATGAATTCCAGAGTTTCTATTTAGAAGCTAATAATTCTGGCAATCACAATTGGATACTAATCAATCTGACAACTTTACTAAGTGTCAATTATCTAGGCATTCTATTTTAAAAGCCAATAATTTATGTAATCCTAATTGGATACTGATTAACCAAATAACCTTATCTAAATGGCAGTTATTTGAGGTTTTGATAATCTTAACTAGATACCAATCAATTCAACAATCTTATTCAAATACTAATTATTTGAGATTTTGATAATTTTAACTAGATACCAATCAATTCAATAACTTTACTCAAATGCCAATTATTCTGACAATTCTATTTGGAGGCCAATAATTTTATTAATTCCAACTGGATACCAATCAATCTAACAATTTTACTTGGGTGTCAATTATTTAATATTCCTGTTTGAAAACTAATAATTCTGATAATTCCAACTAGATATCAATAAGTCCATCAACCTTGCATGAATGTCAATTATACCAATATTCTAGTTTGGAAACCAATAATTCTATTTTTCAGCAAAAAAATTTTAGAATCATAGTAAAATCTTGAAATCAAAGAAAACAACAATTAATATTGAATTCTAAAAGAAAAAATAAGAGTTATTAAGGTGTTAAGCATCTACCTCAGGTATTGTATTTTATTGTTTGACTATTTATAATGATTATACATCTTTTGCATCCTTTTATATATCATCATAATCAGAATTATTTTTAATTCAATTTTTTTTTTAAAGTTTCATTTTTCAACTTTCAATAATTTTTATTTTTAAAGTTTCATTTTTCAACTTTCAATCAAGAGTCTTTTATTGTTTGACTATTTATAATGATTGTACATCTTTTACATCCTTTTATATATCATCATAATCAGAATTATTTTTAATTCAATTTTTTTTTTAAAGTTTCATTTTTCAACTTTCAATCAAATGTCATCTTATTTCTAAAAAATTTCACAAATTATTTTCAAGTAGTTTAATCATTTCATTCATCCAAATCTTTCATTTATTCATATCAATTTATTATAACCATAAACTCTTTCATTTTTTATCCCTGCACCAACTTAGGTTTAAATGATTCTAATATGTTATTTCCAATCTTTCATGAAATTTCTTTTAATTTCATTTCATGGAATATTATTCACTCATTTAATTTCAATTCCTCTTATTATTTATATTCAATGTACTTCATCATCCTTTATTCTTCATTTGGTCAAGCACTAACCAAGGAAACATGGCTTTCCAATTAAATTATTTATGCAATTTAAACTTATTTATACGTGGATTATATTTAGATCATTCAAATCAACCTTTTCAAATAAAATTAAGTCCCATCCTTTAACTAGCATGTAGGTCGAACCTGCATCATAAATTCCAAGGTTTCTTTTTAATATTTTTTTATGTACATTAAATTCCATCATCTGCAATTTACACCATTCATCATATAATTAGTTAATATTAAATTAAGAATTTACCAAAAACTCTCCCTCTCACCCTAACATGTTTAGCCAAATTTCTTTTTTTAAAGGAATGCTTAATTTTTTCTTGAATTTCTTTGAAATCTTTGCATTGTCTATTTATTTAGGATCGTACTAACATAATTCTACATGGAAGATAATTCAAATTTCAAACAACATCAACCTTTTTTTTTCATCATCTTAGTTGAACCTCACACTAAGATGGGAAAAAGGTTTTTTTCTTCAATTTTTTCAATTAATATCTTACCCAATAATTTCTCACATCAAAAACCTTAATCTAACATAAAGACATCTATTTAATTATTTATTCATTTAAACACAATTTACATAAAACTCCCACTTGTAAAACACATCAATTCTCATCAATAATTCAACCCAAACTCAAATAAGGTTCCTCACCTTTTAAACACAATAAATGAAGGGAATAAAAACAAGAAAGAACAGGTTTTATTCATTCATTTTCCTTTTCTCCCTTTTCTCCTTTTCTCCATGTAATGTCATCCACGTGGAAAAGGGCTACAATAATTTTTTTTAGGAGATTTATTATTTTAATTTAATTTAATACACGTCAAGTGCACAGATATCATACTACCATAAAGGTGATGCCTTTGTGAGCTTAAGAGACATATACTTCAACTCGCCAATTTGGCTCCATCGGTGATGCTCGATTAACACAGATTAAAAATAAAAAATAAAAAAAATGAGACGAAACATTAACCTGATCCGTCCCAAACATGTTGTCTAATCCTGAGTCCTGACTCGTAGTGAAATGTGGGGGCGAGCGATGAAAATTCAACCCAACTCGACCTGTTGGCACCCCAAAATTAAAATTTTAATTTTGAAATTAAGACATCAGAACAATTAAAAAAAACAATTTTTTAAAAAAAAAAACACTTCTCCACCGCATGAAAAAAAAAAAAAAACACTTCTCCACCGCATGAATCACAAAGAGCAAGCACACAACACTGCAATAAAACAATGAGATACTGTTGAATCATCAATGAGATGAAAAAAAATATCTTGTATTTAATGCTCCAATCATTTTCAGTTCTATCTTCTCCACAGAAGAAAAATGTTTCCTTAAAGCATTTCTCTCCAGGAGATACAGTCATGAATTAATACATGTATAGATTTCCCCACGTTGATACACCAAGAGAAGTTCTCCCATCATCCGCTGATGTCCAACTTAGCAAAAAGAGTTCCTTTGGTATTATACCAAAACAAAAGGCAACTGTCTGTACGTTTACTGTTCATACGTTTTTTCTTCTCCCTCCTCATCTCAATACAGGTTTTCCTATTGCTATTCGTCACCCACAATGCAAACTTCTTTTCTTGACTATCCTAATCAAACCATACAATTTAAAAGCAAACGAAAGATCAATCTGAGAAATTTCTTGACCCGCTAGTTTTATACATTATTTTCACGGATGAGTTTGTTCAAAAGGGTTGTCAGCAGGGCATCTCTACGCTCAGCCCTGCTCTCTTCTCTTATCCTCCTCTGTTCTTCTCTCTCCCTCCACGCCTGCTCAATCATTAATCTCTCCCTCTCGAGCTTCTCCATTGACTGTCGCCATTCCTGCTCAAACATCTGCCGCTCATGAGAACGCCTTTCCATCATCTCTCTCCACTGCATCTCCATCTTCTGTTGCTGCTGCAAGAACTCCTTGAGCATTTCTTGAATGCCACCAACAGTACTACTGCTTGCTCTTGGAGACTTCTCCGCTATAATTTTTTCAACCTTCCTCTTCCTAGAATTGCTTCTGACTGGCTTCTCCTCCTCACTATCATCTTCATCCTCATCTTCTTCTTCTGAGAATTCATCCGACGATCTATCTCCACTAGTTCTTTTCATCTTTTTCCTTGACTGAGTAGAACCTGCCTCAGATTCAAGAAGCAGTCGCTGCATGTTCTTAGCTCTTTCAGTGAACACTGCATGCAGTTCCTCAAAGAACGGGCATTGTCGGCCAGTCTCAGGATCAGATGTCTCCTTTCCCTGATTAATTGCAATCAACAGTATTGATTAAGAAAGAGCACATGAATACATCAATTTAATAAATCAATCACTTGTTGGGTGAAAAGCTCAAAAGACCTAAGAGACTACAATAATGGAACCATTTTGAACATATTTTGAATATATAGTAGAGGTATTCATTAATATTCTAGTTTTTAGACCAAAAGATGCAGCAAAGGAGTTTTTATCATGTATGCCCATATAAATATCTTTGGCCAACCAAGCCAGTGGTTGGATGGTCCTTCCTAATAAGAAGTTACAGTAAAAGGTTTTACTAACGAGCACCTGGAGCACTTGTTAAGGTGCATTTGTTATAGTGTTTGGTAATCAATACATGCAATTTCACATATCAAATTTCAGTATTACATTATAATTTTCAATGCACAATAAATGCACCTTAACTAAGGCCACATGGGCACTCCTTAGCATTACCTGTAATTTTATAAGAGAAAGTTCAGTTGTGTTAGAAGAATAGGTAAGCAGGCATCACGGAGAATACAGCCTACAACTGACCTGCTTTAAACTAAACCGAAACTCACCAATGAGAATATAAACAGTATCTGAAAGAAGTTTAAAAATCAGAAAAATCCTTCCAATATTTGAAGTAGAATCTTGAAGACGTTGATGATAAGGCATAACATGGCAGTAAAATATCTCATGGGGAGAAAGGTAATTGAAAGCAACGTAATACAATGGAAGGAGATTCTGATTGTTTCTTCTCTCCATGACATCACATCACATCACATCACTTCACATCATATTCTACCAAACATTACCAAAGGATATCAGGTGCTCCATGGCGAAAATCAGCCTGAAAAGGACACAAAGGTCTGCTGCAGCTAATTTGATGTTCGCATAACTCTCTCTGACTTGTTTCAGACCTATTTTACATAAGGTTCAGAAAAGTCAAGATTTAGGGATACCAGCAAGTTCGTGATTTGTAACTTACATTGGTATCAGGTCAACATTTAATGTTTTCTCAGAGACTGAAGTTGTTTCCTTGATTAAGGTAAATGGGAAACAGGTTATCGACTGTGAAACTATCCAGGTAAATTGCTGTAACATACCTACAAGGTGAAGCAAGCTAGATGCCCTTTGCTGCAGCTACTTTTAATTGCTTCAAAGCATGCAACTTGTAAGTTGTAAGTAGCTGATGCACGAAGGTCACATCCCATGTAGCTAATTAGTGGTCTAGAATCCCTTAATTACTAAGTTAAGTACAAGAAGCCACATGTTTTGTTTTTTGTTTTTTTTTTCATTGTGTTGTTTTATAATTGAAACTGCGTTTGTTAGCTAGAGAATCCAATAACATCATATCCCCTTTTCTCCATAACCTTCTGCATAGATGAGTAAAAGAGCACAAGATGGTTCCAAATCAGATCAATAAAGGAATTTGTAGGAGGGAATGTTGAAAATCTAGCATAAGGGGATGGGATAGGTTGGGGGGATGCTGGCAACTCTAGAAACAAACTTCCAATGTAACACATTCAAACTAACACAATATAACTTAAAGACCATGCTACAACCTTTTATAGAGAAGATTTTACAAAATATAGAATTTGCTTACAGACTGCAAGATTGTATGCTATAGTAAGCAACAGCAATTAACAGCTAAAACACAACTAGTATACTTCCCCGTTGAGTTACTTCACAGTAAATCATTTTTTTTCCTCCATTACTTTTAAAAGTAATATTTAAAATCTGACATTGAAAAACATTTCAAGCATTTGTTTTTTTCTCATGCAACATGCCCTAGTATTTTTAAATCTAGAAAAAATCGCCTCAAAACAACAAGGTATTTGGATAACCATTCAAATTGCAGAATCATTAGACAGTCTATCATCCAAGGCTAACCGCTCCATACAAAATCTAGCTTCCAAAAAGACCGTCTTTTACACTAAAACACAATTGTGTCAACAACTACACTCAATCTGGGAACAGATCGAACTTACCTCCCCAAGCTTGCCCTACTCCTAAAGTCAAGAGTTTTTAACTTCTAATGATCTTCCTTCTCCGTTCCTTTCATTCCCTTTTTGTTCCACCACTAGCATTATCCATGTCCTAACTAAGTTCATTCCCTCTTGTATGCATCATTTCTATGCATTACACGCTAAACCTTACACAATCATTTCAATTTAACTCAACTGATTAACAAATTATGGGTCACAAATATCTCTTATCAAGCTTGTGCGGGGACCCAGAAATGGGTTACAACAAAGCTAATCACACTCATTTTACAACTCTATTAAAACCTAGCAAATCCTAGATTTACCAAGCAATAATCCCCCCCACCCCAAAGAAAAAGATAAAAAAAAAAGAGGAAGAAAGGTGAAAAGGACACAACTTTCTTAAAACCCATTTCTTATTACATCCAAAGACACATGAAAACAATACCTTGTAGCGATTGACGAGGTTTTTCCACTTGCACTTACACTGTTCGGGTGTCCTTCGGTAACCCTTCTCTCTCATTTTAGCACTGACTATCTCCCATAAAGTTTTGTTCCTCTTCGTCACAGTAAAATCCTTCTCCAACTCCGCTCTAATCCCAATAAACTCCTTCGTTTCTTGTTGTCCCCACTGTGGTTGTTGTTGAGGTGGACCCCTCGGCGAGATCTCCGCCGTTGGACTTAGCATCGCCGCCGTTGGCATCATATTTATCCGCCCTAGCCCGTCTCCTTCCCCTCCACCACTAAACATCATATTTATGGTGCAGTATTCGGGTTTTATAACGTCTTTGTATATAATCTGAATCTACTATGGCTTTTAAAAACAAAATGGAAAGCGTGTGTTTTTTGATGATGTTGTGTTTTGTGCTTTTGGTTCAATCGCTATGGTTTTGCTTCTTGGACAAGACAGGTATCTCTTGTTGAAAGGAAAGTCGTACTTATGGGTGGAGAGTGGGTTCAAGATGAAAAAAGGACAGATTGTGCGTTTGATTTTTACTTTCCTTTGATTTTTAATAAGACATGCTTTCTTTTTAAATATATTTTAATTAAAAAAATATTAAAATCTTCTATATATCATATAAAAACAATTAAAATATAAAATGTGATTAAGGTTAAAATAATAGTTGTTTTTTAAAATATTTTTTATTTAAAAATATTTTAAGATATTATTTTGTTATTATTAAAACTTATATATATATATATATATATATTAGAATATCAAAATAATTTTAAAATATTAAAAAATAATTTTAAATAAAAAATTTAAATTTTTGACAAACAATATTTTAAATGCAACACCAAATATACTTATAATTGATAATTGATATATATGTATCTTAGTATGAGAATAATTGATTGATCCATCTTACAAATATGATTTGAAAATAAATAAAAAATAATATTATAAAAAATATTTAATATTATTATTTAATATTAACTTTGAAACTCATCAACTTGAATTTTAATTTATTTTAAATTTTAAATTAACCCGTGTAAAGTTTCTTCAGCACTTGATTAACTTGATAAATTCAGAACAACTTGATTGATTAGTAAGAAATATAGTTTGGTTTTAAAAATTCAAGATAATTTTTTTTTAATATTTAAATAATGATATATTTGATAAACTTAGATTTCACAATTTAATTTATCAAACATGCAAATTAAATAATAGACTTAACTGAGTTTAACAACTTTATTATTTAGAAACTATTTTGTACTTAACAATAATAAATAAATAAATAAAAATTTATAAAATTGAATATCAATCAAATACTAGAATATTTATTTGAAACTATAATAACCTTCTACAAAATATAATTAAATAATTAATAAAGACTAATTCAAAATTAATCTAATATTAAAAATTAAATTGTTCAAAATAAAAAAGAATAAAAAAGAATAGCATCTTCACCAATCATATAAAAAACTCAAATTTATTTAGTTGTATAATAACAATAATAATAATAATAATAATAATACGATGTAATTGTGAAATTTATTCAGCATAGGTTTTACATTCTTAGTTATATCAATGTCTTTTATCCATTCTTGATTTCTTGTTTTTTGATCGTGATATGTACATATGTTAGGACAATTTGTTTGTTTACCCACTGTGTTTAGTAGTGAATGAGGTTGGATGTTATTTACTGGGGTACAATATATGTCCCTACAAGTATTTTTATATAGAAATTTTTTTAAAATAATTTAGATTAATATGTTAAATATATGATCTAAATTATTAACTTAATTAGATCTAATAATATTTTTTAATTTAATTACATAATAAAAAATAAATTTTAAATCAAACAAATAATAACCCAAATAATAACAGATAAAATTAAAGAATATAGATAAATAAACTAACAAAAACCCAACATTAGAAGAAAAAATAAAGGGGAAGAAGATAGAGAGAGAGAGAGAGATAGAAGCATGCTAGGTTAGGCTTAAAAAAAAATCAAATATTCATTAAAATTCAAAATTCAAACTATATTATACAAATAGCAAATAAGTAAAGTTTCGTTTTTCAAAATAATATATATAGATCCAAGAGTTATTTATAATTTGATTTTTATAATTCTTGAAACTATTAAATGATGATAATAAAATTAATAAAATTATATATTAATCATTTTTTTTCTCTTACATTTCATGCGGTGAACATATTGATTATTATATTTTAAAATTATTTTTTAAAAATAATAATATGTTAATAATTTCAATATATATTTAATTATTAACACACACACAAGAAAATGTGAATATGTTGCCAATCAAGATTTAATTTTGGGTTTTTTGAGGAAAAGAAGCAGCTATAACAAATTGCACAGCCCAATATATATATATATATATATATATATATATATATACACATTTAAAGTAATAATTATACATACATACATATTTAAAATTTTAAAATATATATTCAACCAAAATTTCCCTTGAATTACCAAAACAAAAATTCATTTTAAAAAAATAAACATAAAATAATAAAAATAACTAAGATACTTAAAATCCCTATAGAAATAAAAGAAAAAACATTGTGTGAAAAAAAAAAAGAGGAAAGGAATGTAAACAAAAAGGAAGTCCAAGCATGTAGGTCTAGCTTGGGTGCCCGGCATGCATAGGTTTTATAGCTCGAGCTTGTGCACTTGAGCCATGTTTTTCTCTTATTAGATGGTAGACTGTAAATCCTAGTTTAAAATTCTATCAACTCAAGTTAAATAAAGTGTTTTTATTAAAATATAATAAACTCAAAAAAAAAATCTTTGTGATTGGGAATGAAATCTTTTGATAATTTGTGTAAAATCTTGAGTTATTTTTTAAAAACAAAATTGAAGATGTTTTAACGAGTCTAAATGGAAATTAAAAATTGTAAACCCTTAAAAATTTAAAAATAAAATAAATAAAATTAAAATGAGTTTATATACGTGATAAATAAGTAAGAAAAAAAAAGAATGACAATAATAAATAAGTAAGAAAAAAAAGAAAGAATGACATGAAAAAATATTGGTGTAAGTGATAAATAAGTAAGAAAAAAAAAGAATGACATGAAAAAATATTGGTGTAAATGATAACGTGAAACAATAAAAAGCAAGTAAAATAATGAAAAAGTAAAATAAAAATATGGTCCTAAGAATTTAGTAAAATAAGTAGTACAATCCATGGATGGGTGAAACAAGAAAGTTTTGATTTTTAATGTAAAATTACCTATTAATTAGTTTTATACTATTAGATATAATTTTTAATTTTTAATTTAATTGTTATATTAAGTTGAAATTTTACAAGAAACCTCTGGACACATTGCTATATCTTAGATTATAGTTTTAGAAAAATCAGAAAACGAAAAGGTTAAAAATGATGATAATTAAACAAAAAATAACAAATACGTTTATTAACAATAATTTTGTAAATAAGCTGAAAAAACTGGAAATTCAGCCCCTTCTTTTTCAATAATTGCCGGCCAAAAAGGGAAAGGAAGATAAGAAAACAAAAATTATGAGAGAATCCACCATTAAAACACCTTGAGGGAAATTTAGCCTCTTCTTCTCCCATTGCCTCCCATTGTCTTGATGGTGTGTTAATGGTTCTTTGGAATGAATCTAATTATCATGTTTAATTGAAGTTGAGTTTACAATGTTACTGGACTAAGAACTTTTAGAAGGTATAGTTAATTGATTGAATAATTGCATGAATTGAATGTGTTCGCATGTTAAAAAAATATATAATATACGGAAATAAATATGAAACTTGTTATTATAAATAAAGAAATTATTAATGTATTTATAAAAAGTGTTTATAAAGATAATGGGTTGAAATTGGATAAATAGAGAGGCATGATACCATATTTGTTTACATGTGTGTTCAATTAACATATACAGCTTTTATGTTGAAATTTAAAGAAAAAAGAATATATATATATATATATATAATGCTAAAAAAAAAAGTAGATAATGCGTTTTTATCTATATATATATATATAATGCTAAAAAAAAAGAAAAGGCAGATGTATTTAAATATATTTTAAAAATATTTTTATTTTTAAAGAATATTAAATTAATATTTTTAAAAATATTTTATGATGATTTTAACGTGTTAATATTAAAAATAAAAAAATATTTTTAAATGAATTGTTTTTGAAATACCAAATACATACATAGTGACATCACTGCAATGCATCTTGACGTATTCAAGAAGCTGCCTACATTTAAAACTTGGTGATTGAACTGATTTTTTTATTACAATGTTTGAACTGGTTTTTAAGAAAACCGAAATTCTGTAATTTAACGAGACGTAGTTAGTCTTTTTCTGTTGGTTGTGGGATAAACCACGGTCCCGAGTGAAGTCGATGCATGTTGAAGAACGCCAAGATTCTCGATCGCAAGTTCACATGTAGTCATTTTCATAAATTCAATGTCACTTTCAAGAGACTATTTAGTTTAGTTGGATAATAATTAAAGTGTTAATATTGATATTGATAAAAATCTAAAGTAGGTGGGGTTGTCATGTGTGCACTTTTCACGAAGGCTTAAATTATTTTTTAATTACTGTTCATTCAGTGGACATTTTATGATTTTGCCAACTTTGATGTATATTGTCAATTTACATGTTTCTTTTACTGTATTTCATCAATGGTTAGGGAGCCAAAAATTAGGGAGGGGGATGACGAGAAGTTGTCCAAGGATAGATGGTAACTGTTTCGGTTGTGATTCGACCGATCAAACAGAAGTAAAAAAAGCATAGTTTTTAGGCCCGATCTGATGTAAGACTATGTTTCGATCAAATAAATGTCAAAAAATATAGTTTTCAGGCCCCATCCAATTTAAGACTTGGGTTTTAGGTTTCTATCAGATCTCTTAATTTGCTTGAATTAATTCTTTTTATTTTTTAAATTAAAATAATATCATTTTAGTAAAAACAACAATCGGGTTTTTGATCAGGTTTACTGGGTATACTGGGCTTTTTCTTTCCTAATTTTTTTTCAATCTAATCTTGTTCCAATTCCAGGTCGACCTACCAAGCCAAATTTAAAAATTATATCAAAAAGTTACATCAAGAAGTATATTGATTGGTGGACATGAAAATAAGTGTGGAAAAACTCATTAAGATTACAATTTATTTTAAAAAAAAAAAGCAAAAGAGAAGTTATTATAGCTTTTCTTACTTATTACTCTGAATCAAAATAGTAATATATAATAATTTTTTTCTTTAGATTTTTCTTTTTAGTCCAATTTCTATAAACTATCATGTTTTTTTTTTTAAATAATTTTTAGCCTTAGTTGGGTGCCAACCAAACATCTTTAGACATGAAAGAATGTCAAATCCAAATAACACAAGTCTGGCTCACTTCGAGGCTGAATATCTTTGAGTTCAATTACGTATGGAATCTAATCAGACATGAATTTTGCAAGTTGTCAGACCCCCATCCTTGGAGTCATCTACGTGTTGAGCCCAGGTAAATATAAATTTAGTGAACTATTAGACTTAAT